GCCCCCTCAAAAAACATGAGAGCATGACGCCCCTGAATAGGCCATTTCTACAATGGCATTATTAACTGAAAGCTATTACTTTTACATGTTGCTTCGTCCTTGTGTCAGAAAAGACTGCACTTTTAAAGGTGAAACTAAAAAAAGGGTGGCTCACATTGAGGTTTAAAATCTGATTATTTTTATTTGACATTAAATACTTTTGGGGAGACGACGTCCTCCAGTTTGACATGGTCTAAAAAAATTAAACAGCACTTTGCTTAAGATTTTATAATTATGCAATATTATTAATAGAGAAATTATGCAATGTTTGTACTTTTAAAAATGTATGTCATAGCCAATAAAATGATCTGGTGAAAAAATAGAGAGCAGTTACAGAATCTAAATTACACACTCTTATACCTTGATTACCTACGCTACCGTTCAAAAAGTCAGTAAAATTTTTTAAAAAGAAATTAATACTTATATTCAGAAAGGATGCATTCAGTTGATCAAAAGTGACAGTAAAGACATTTATGATGACGCAAAAGATGGCTTTTCATAAAAATTCTGAATCCTGAAAAAAAGTATCATGTTTTTCCCAATCACAACTGTCAGTTGTCATTTAGTTTATTTGTTATTTGTTTATTTGTCATATTTCAGTGGATGTATGAAGTTGCAAGTGTTGGGAGTTTGGTGATTTTGTTTGGTTTGGTTTATATTTAGTGCTTAACCTGTTGTCTGACATTCGCTCTGGTGGCAGCTGTATGTATTTGGCTGCTGTGATGTTGAATGGCATGCGTGTTAACGTTTTGCCTCTGTAGTGCAAGTGCAGATGCGTTTGGCTTCGGTCGCGCCAAGGTGTCGTGTGTGTACACATTTGTCTGTCATTGGTAATGTGTGTGTGTGACTGCGTGTGTGTTGGAGTTCTGAGTACTCTATAATCCCTCCCTCTTCATGAACACATTAGCGGAGTGTCTTAAACTCAGTTTAGCTGGCGGCTCTGAAGGCACATCACATCCTATTACCTACTTTAAATCATTAATGTGACATCGTTTTCACTCAATCTCCAAACACCCACGCTTCAAATCTGCACATTTCACTGAGCTGTCGCAGAAGCTCTCTGGAACTCACACACACACAGACATATGCATCACGCGCACAGACATGGTAACTGTAAAAATACATAAGCTAGCATGAGCTTACAAACATGTAAAAACAGTAAATACACACTCTGAATTATTCTAATTGCTTCCCTCGGATGATGCTGTTGCCTCGTGAAAACATCTTGCCCCCCTTTTTTCCATTCGGCACTCAGCAGAGACGGCGAAACAGACAGCAGGAAAGATAACTTGAGGAATCAGATGTTCCTTTTCTGTACTTAGCCTCATACTGAGCAGAAATGCACACACACACTCTTATAAAACACTCTATTCAGTATTAGCTACAGGCAAAAAAATCTAATATTTACAGTGCCCTGAGCTACGCTACTTCACTTAAAGACTTAAAGACTAAATTTTCCAGCCCACTTTCCACTGCGTTTAAATGAAAATTTGGAGTACTTAACTCCCTCTCAGACAAACACTCAAGACAGCAGCACAGACCCACCAGAGAGGAAACATTACAGGGCCAGAAAAGACAAGAGCACTGAACCCAGCAGCTTTTATAAAAGCATTGACATTAACACATCATATTTCATTACATAAAGCTTGTGAATTTCAAAAGATAACCTTACCTTTATCCATTGTCCTTTCTGTTGTTTCCATTCCGCCATGCTTGTTGTGGTTAATTAGACCAACTGTTTGATTGGATGTGATCCATTGTGCTCTGGTCTTCTGATTGGTGGAAAAATTGGGTGCTCTGCTACAGAGTTAGGTTTGTCTTTTTAAGCAGCCTTGGTTTTAGGAGTATTTTATTTATTTTCTCCAGAGGAATTTCAGACATTTCAGACGAGAGTTGCAAGCCTTGAAACGAAGTCAAACAGTCACAACAAGTATTTGAAAATTGGACAAAAGACAAAAGTACATGACTGTGTCCTTTTTTTTTTAAGGGAGTGAACTATATAAACAACATAAAACACAATATACAAATGTGAAGTTTAATACAAAAATGAAAGTGTATTGGACAATATATATATATTTATATATATATATATATATATGTATAATATACTATATCAAGTTTGTGGGTAATGTAGTACTTCACTTTTTAATGAATAAAAGCAGATACACTTGCTTAGCAACTTTTGGTCTTAAAGTTTTGCAAAAAGTATGTAATTTTTAGAAAATTAATGCGATTTTTACTACCATAAATCCTACTGTTACGCTCCTTTGAGAGCAGCACCAGAGCCTCATTATTTTGACTGAAATCTAATCCAGACATACTCGGTGTGCACATAAAAGTGGTATTTTTATTGCTTTGGGTTCTTTAATTGTATGATAACACTAGGCAAGTTTTTGATTTGTGGCACAAATATTATTTCTAATTGAAATGTGTGGTTTAGGAAGTCTGGTATGAAAGTTAAAACATCTTCGACCACCTACTTGAGGGGGAGCGATCGAGACAAACCTTTAAGATTTGTTAACAATACTGTGTAATTTATGAACATTCTTCTAAAAATATTTGTAACCTCAGCAGGTGTCCTACTATCCTGCGTGACGTATGTAATTCCAGACACATACAATGACGTTCAGCACTGGGAATTCCCTTTGTTTGGCCTAAAAATGTTGCGATTGCTTCATGTGTTGGCACGTAACAGTAGACAGATAGTATTTAGTGTGCAGTGTGGTGCTTTTTGGCAGTTCTGGACTGCTAGAGTTTAATTATGGAGTTGGTGAGTTGCAGTAGGGCAGAAAAAGGAGCCACAGACACACAGTAGAGATACAGAACACGTTGCTGTTTTTATTTGAGCCTTGACTGGCAGTAATACTGAAAAACGTCAACTTAGAACAGATGGTGGTAACCCACAGCTTGCTTTTTTTTTGTTTGTTTTTTTCCATAAGAGTACAGTAAAACTCTTGCTTTTAGTGTGGCATGAATAACATCAATAAAAGAGAGAAAGAAATATACAACTTGTATTACACCGTGTTATGAACAAAATATAAATCTATAACTCTATGCTATATTTACATAATTATCTTTCTCGATTTTCAAGTTGAGATGGTAAGATAAGTTTCTAAGTACTTTTTGTTTGATGTCATTTACCGTTGTTTTGAGCTCCACACATGACTTTGATTGTCTTATCAATTATTGTTCATAATACAGGCCATCATTATCAGAGTATGAGTTCTAAAGACTATGAGGTTACCATGCTGACAGATAATTTGTTGACAGAACGTGACCTTGTATGTTAAACCAGCCAGCATACGTGTCCCTATCGATTGATATGATTGTGGGAATTACTAAATGTGAAAGCATGGTCACATCAGATGGTGGCTATTCTGTGATTGTGACTTTTGTTATCTGACAAGGTGTGATTGTGATGTCACTACTGTGAGCTCGATTGACAGAGGGAGACAGTGTGTGGAGCTAAAACAATTCTGGAGATAAAAACATCTAATATGGCCATTCAGTGGAGCTTTACTGGAATCAGACAGTTTGATCAATTCAGAAAAGTCATGTCTTCTGATTAAAAGGGATAGTTTACCTGCCACCATCTTTCAAAACCCGTTTCACTTTTAATCTTCTGTGAAGCACTAAAGATGTTTAACAGAATGTCCAAGCTGCTGTTTTGCACATAATGAAAGTGAATGGCGTGCTCAAGCAAGATTTTCAGGGAATAATGACTTACATTTCAGTCTTTTTCTCTCACAAAGCTGTTATATGGCTTCAGAGGACTTAGGAATATAACACAGCTGTTTGGACCTCTTTTATAATGCATTTTTTTATTTTCAGAACCCCTGGTCCCCATCTACTCTTATTGTATGGAAGAGAGCAGCTTGGACAATCTGCTAAATGTCTCCATTGGTGTTCTACAGAAGAAAGTAAGACATATAGGCTTGGTCAATTTCATTTTTTGGGTGAACTATCCTTTTAAGGGTTAGGTGCTGTGTACTGTAACTGTACCCAAATTTGACAAAATAGGTAAACAAATGCATTTTTCTAAACCAGTGATGTTCCAATGAAACAAGAGAGAGGATGACAAATATCAGTAAACAAGTTCCACGCTCTTTCTGTTCAATGACAATTGGGGTATAATATAGCCGTTTTCTTGATCTTCAGTAAAAGAAAAAGAGAATTAACAGAAAGGAAACTTCACATTATACATAAACCATTACAAATAAAAATATCATGTTCTTCTTAAGTTTGACTCCGAGTGTCCAGAGTCCTAGTGCTTTAAGAAATGTGTTTGGAGTTCATGAACGATGCACGGAGGAGAAAAAGAAAATGAAAAAAAGAGAAATGTCTCTTTTCCTTCATATCAGCAGTTCACCGTGACTACTTTCTCAGAGATATATCAGCGTCAGAACAGGATTAATTCAACAAAAAAACAAGAGCAAATAAAATAAAAAAGGAGAACAAAAAAACAGAATATTGAACATAATGATTAGATCTAAATACCTACCCAGCTAAATATAATGCTTTATCAAGCGCAGTTTCCATACGATCATAAAAAAAAATCCAAATGGAGGAAAATAATAAATTATACTGTACATAACTTACTAAACTTAGGAAATGCTGCCTATTCTTATAATTATTGTTAATAATATTATTACACTAGAGGCAGTTTTAATGAAAGTAAAATACAGTATTTGCAAATACAAACTAAAACATTAACACGCAGAGTCTGAAACGGCTCCTCCCAACCTCGACAGCAGAGTGACGTTGACATGGAGGCAAAACACAAATACAAACAACAGACGGGACTGGACCTCATCGAACCGAATAAACTAGACAAAGATGAACACGCAAAATGCCATTGGTCATCACTTTGCTAGCACTACAGGGGTCAGAGTACCTTTAACATTTATCGTTAGAAAAAATCTCAAGTAGGCCAGAAAATTCAAATATGTTTTTAGTTATACATGTGCATTCTAAATATATAATTTGATATGTGTTGTGAGTGGACGGCCTTTGGGTAGATGTAAAGGGGAAAAAACACAGATATTAATGGCTGGAGTCTGGCTGCTGTTCACCTAACAGCTTGTGTCTCTCTCATCCAGCTGCCCGCTTATGCCCACACCAGGCCAGAGAGAGGCTGGCAGGGTAGTTACAGTTAGGGCAGCCGTCAATCAAACGCCATCGACGTGCCAACAGCAGCCACACAGGTGCAGTAAGATGGAGTGGGTCAGTCAGAGCCACACAGAGAGCGGATGACTGATGGCACGGCTCGGAGACTCCTCTGCACTGATAAACCGAGTGATAGATGGAAAAAAAGAGGAGAGAGAGACAAAACACAAATCCCTGCGGAGGAGTAGAGATGTGAGATATATTAAGTGGCGCTGATTGAAACGCACACTCGTGCTTGTCTTGTACATAGATCCCTGGTTTCTCTCAGAGCTGTCCTTTGAAAACAGAGCACCGGGGCTTGTGGGAACTCTATTCTCCTCCTTCAATACGCCATTCAAGCACAGACTCTCCTCTAGAGAGCTTTTCTCTCCGCGTCTCCTCTTTTCCTTTCAGAATGAGGTGCAGTGTTCCCTGCACCCAGCGATGACAGAAACAGGTTGTTCAGGGAGACAATGAGAATGGAAAAAAAAAATTATCAAACGAATGATCGGACTAAAAATAAAAACAAAAAGAATGATAAATGCAGCGTTATTATTAAACATTTGGCTTCCCTCAGCACAGATATGGCTGCTAGCATGAATCGTACGTATTGAATATTAATGTTTTTTCCTTTTGTAAATGTTCACATGACCAGCACATCAACCGTCTACATGTAATAAAAATTAACTTAAAACCTAGCAAAATGCGCATTCATCTACACACACACACAAACATAAAGAAATGTGCACGTGTACAATAATTCTGCTCGAGGCTTCACTCTCCACGAAAACCATCGCCATGTCAGCTGTTCACCAAACACAAAGTTTGTGCTATCTCGTAAAGTTTGTCTCCACACCTGAGAGAGACGTCAACATCCAAAGCTCCCACAGAAGAGGAGAAAGGAACAGTAAAAGCGTGTCAAGAGGAAAAGATGTGAGGAAGGAGGGATTGTCTGTCATCCAGCGATGTCCGAACTCCTGAGTGAAGGGACGCGAATCCTCCCTTCCATCCTTTCGTCCAACAGAAAAGACATCTTTGAGTGAGAGGACATGGGCGTGAGGATGATAGAAAGAGATTCAGCTAATAGCACGCCGAAGAGAAAAAAAAATAGAAAATGTTTGTCATTTTACTCCTGTCAGGTGCTTTACGGTGAAGAGGAAAATAAATGTATTTTTTCTCTATTAAAACTGTAGCACAAAAACAACAATCACATTCACAAGCCACCTGTTGGCACTGTGTACCTGAGTGAGAATATTATAGAACCAAGAAAAAAAGTTGTTTAAAAGTGTCTCTTTAGAAACAATCAGGTCCACCATTTTAAAGTGTCTATGACGGGTCGACTGACAGGTCCTTAGTAATAAATGTCTCGACAACAAACCGGTTAAGGGTAATTTTTCCTATGTCTAGGCAAGTGTTATACTTCCTTTACAAGACCCTCCTTTCCATGTAACAGTCACTTTGATTGACAGGTCCTGTGCATTGCTGTGGATATCGGGCTTGGCTCTGGAGGATTCCTGATTGGACGGTGTATGGGGGCGGAATGAAGTTTGCTTGCGTGAGATGCCAGGTGACTGGTGAGATGGCTGTGATTGGCAGGTTTACTGAGTGATGTGATTCTCGCTGTCACTGCCATAGTCATCGTCTTCGTAGTCGAACTCATCGTAGGCATCGCCATTGCCGTCATCCATTCGGAGCTCCTCCTCCTTAATGCGAGGCCCCTCCCTCTTGTGTGTGAGGTAAGAGGGCTGGCTGCTGGGTGGGACTGGTTCGGGGCTACTAGACATGCTCGAGTGCTCAGAGGGCATCTGTGGAGAGGGCATTCC